TGACCATTGTTTTGTTTTGATCTCTCCGCTGCGCTTCCGCGTATGTCACTTCTGAGCGGCGCATGCGCAAAGCTAACCTCATACGTCATTCCCCTGGAGCTGCTTCCGTTTACAACAGTGAGCGCAAGCTAGATTAAAGTGATTATTACGTTTTGAATATGGATATTTTTCTTACAAAAATGCATCGATTCGCTACAGGAGGCCTTTGTTCACCCCCGGAGCCGTGTGAGACACTTTTTTTTATGCATGGGCACTTTTTATTTAACTTCTTTTGGACTGAAGCATGCAACACCCGCTGACTGCAATGATAGAGCTTGAAAGATCAAAGACAATTTTTAATATAACTCTGACTGGATTCATCTGAAAGAAGAAAGTCATATACACCTAGGATGACTTGAGGGTGAGTAATTTGTGGGCTAATTTTCATTTTTGGGTGAACTAACCCTTTAAATCTCATACGTTTTAACTGAATGTTAATTGAATATTGCTTGTTCCACAGCTAGTCATATTTTAACCATGTTCACACTTTATAACTGAATAAATGTAATTGTTTTCAGAATGAACAGATTCATGCTGATTCTAAACTATTTGAATTTTTAGCATTTTTATAATATATTTTAATAATAATTTTATTATCCTGTTAGTTTTTCTTAATATTTTGAGTTTTTAATATTTTGTTTTTATTTTAATGTTTTTATTGTAATGTTTTTATTTTATTTTATTATGTCATAGAGTTATATGTCTAGTGTTATATGTAGTTTTAATTTTAGTTAACGCTAATAAATGTATTTTGAAAATATGATTATTTAAATAAAAACAAATAGATGCAAATATAATAATAAATTGTGCACTGATTTATTTTATTTATTTATTTATTGCATCACATTAAGCGTTAGTTTATTTATTTATTTATTATTATTATTTATTTTTATGTGTTTGAAATTTAAATGCATGGAAATGCAATTCAGATACATAAATCTAATTGTTTGTATAAGCTTACACTTCTCTCTTGTCATTAGCGGCTAACCGTGGGGCTCAGGAGGTCACTATCACTGCTGCTGAGAGCCAGTACTGTTTTGACGGGCTGACCCCAGATGCGCTGTACAACGCCACAGTCTACACACAGACCCCGAACCAGGAGGGGCCCGGAGTCAGTGTCAAAGAGCGCACATGTAAGTCACGTTGCATTCAGAAGAATTCAGTCTCACAGCTCTGATCACAGTTTTACTCCTGGTTTCTTGTCTGTTTTGTAGTGGTGAAGCCCACTGTACCGCCAACACCACCTCCAACTCCTCCACCACCACCCACCATCCCCGCCGCACTCGAGGGTAAAGGCACAAGAGCATTCACTTTTTCAAAATACTTTTTAAATCTTTAATTTGCTTCCAGGCTTTGCTTCTTCCAAACAATGCAGTCCTCTGAAACTATTATTATTCTGTAGAGCTGAATGGAATTTTAGGTTCAGTAAACAAATACCCTTTAATGCACAGCGTTCACAACACTGACTGAAATTCAGTAACTAAAAGAACATTTGACAGGGGTGATATGGTGTATCGGCATACCTGCATTACTCATTGCACTTTGTTTTGTAATGCCAGTGTGCAGAGGAGCCAAGGCTGACCTGGTGTTCCTGATCGACGGCTCGTGGAGTATTGGAGATGAGAGCTTCATTAAAGTCCGTCAGTTTGTCTTCAGCATGATCGGAGCGTTTGACGTCATCAGCCGTAATGGCATGCAGGTAACCAACGACCTGTCTGTAGTCATGTGATTGACTGCATGTGCACGTCTGCCTGACTGTGCTGTGATTCCTTTGCTCTTTTTTCTCATTCTGTGAAAACAGGTGTCTTTTGTGCAGTACAGTGATGGTGCTAAAACAGAGTTCAAACTGAACACCTACCACGACAAGGGAATGGTGCTGTCTGCTCTTCAGATGGTCAAATACAGAGGAGGAAACACCAAAACGGGTTTGTGAAACATTGCTTTTATGTTCCCTACCTAAATGTGTCAAAAGAAGAAATAAAAATGACGCTTTGTTTTGATGCGTGTGAATGTTTTAGGTGCTGCGCTGAAGCATATCGGAGAGAACGTGTTCACATCAGACAATGGAATGAGGAGAACCGTTCCCAAGGTTCTGGTTGTAGTAACTGACGGTCGTTCTCAAGATGAAGTGAAGAAGAGTGCTGCTAAACTACAGCATGCAGGTAACACTGAGATCAAACACCACGCTTATATTTTGCTTGAAAAGTAAAAAAAAAAAAAACCCCGAAACATTAAGAAATTGTTTACTGGACAGAGTTTTTAAAATCAAGTTTAAAACTTTTTAAGGCCTTTTTTAAGACCTGCACAATATCATATGTCTATATAGAGCAAATTAGGGCTATGCAATATGGCCAAATTATCATGATGATTTTTGCTCCTAAGTGAATGTTGTAGAAACTAGACCGTTAATTGTGATTTAAAACTACTTTATGGTCAGAACACAAGAAACACTTTTTGAATTCTTTATACCTTTCCAGTCATTTTTCTCAATGACTGATATTATTACAAATCATGAGACATGTTTGTGTTGTCTGACTTTGATGACGTCTATCATCAGCACAGTTTGCAGTGCAGGCTGCAATATTTAAAATATTACTTTTTTTGTCTCTTAGAAATGCACATTTGACTGTAGCTTGAGTCGACAGTAGTAGTAGCTTGAATTAGGATGCAGATGTAAATTTATGTTCATTATCAAAAACAGTGACATCTGTAAAAATTGTAACAACCTCATTTTTATATGGTGAAATTGAATTAATCTGTTTGATTTTTATTAACATTAACCATCGGTTTCCACAGTAGCATACATTTAGATCATGATAGCCAGTTAAAACCACACATATAGCACCTCAATACCATGATAAAAAATGTAACTACATGGTTTCTAGGTATTTGTTTAAAAAACAGTTGTCTAAATACATTTAGTATAAATGCACAAACACTATCGTTTAATCACAAAAAAATACTGTAATTATATTCTATTACTCCTTTAATACAATACGTTTAAATTAATAATAGAATCAAATTCGATATGAATATCCCACATTTCTGACACAATACCATGGTGCAGTTAGTGTTACTGGAGTAAAGCCATGGTAAATTATGGTGATTTGTAGATTGAAAGTCTTCTGACTGTATCGTTGCTCACAGTGTTTCTGCTGTTTGTCAGCGCTGTTTCATCAGGCTTTAAACTAGTTTAAATCACAGAGTCGTTTGTGTTTTTCTCTGAATTCAGTCTCTTCACTCTGGATCTCACAGCTCTGTTTAGTGTCGTGTGACTGAGACTCATCAGAGAGTAACGCATCTGCTCTAGTGAGCTCACGCTGCGCTGCGCTGCCGTTTGAACTTTGAACTTTCATTCCGCTTTTGCCGCATAAATATTATACTGAACATTTATCAAACTCTTGTTATCGTTTTATCAAGGAAAATTATATCACGATAATTATCGTTAGCATTTTATCGCCCAGCCCTAGTGCAAATCCATACAATCTCAAAATAAATCATGTATCTTGAATAAAATACTCAAAGCATGTTTCATTCACTATATACATATGCACTGAAATGTTTGTGCTAATATGTCAATTCATACAAACAGCAGTTGCTTTTCATAAATTGATTGTACACTGCTCTGTAATTTGCGAGTCTGTAGAAAGCACAACAGCGTCACATTTTTACTTTGAAACATGCAGCACTTGCATCTGTTTAATTAATTCATCACCTTTCGAAATGTAATAATCATATTAGGCTTTATTGCGATTCCTGTTTTTCTTTCGCCAAATTTTATTATTAAAAGACTTTGTATGGCCTTAAATTTTATCATACTGAATGTAAGACTTTTTAGGGACTATTTAAGACTGTTTAGTATAAAGAAAATAAAGCCTTTTTGGACCATGAATTTGTTTTTAGTCATTTGGCTATTCTGATTAAATTCTGTAAATTACTGTAGTATGCAAGAATCATCCTGCCCAGACACTGCTTTTTTTGTATTAAAAATAAGCATTAATTATGACACATTGCCGATCTCAGTGGTCATGGAAATAGACCTTATTTTCTTTATGCAACATATAATTGTTAACTTTTGGGTGAAATACGACCCCGGAAAAGTTCTTGACAGGTTTTGACAGGCAATGTATCTCGAATTACTTCAGACAAGTCCCTCGACATGCTCCCTAAAGCCTCAGTGTTGTTTTTTCCACAGGCTACAGTGTGTTTGTGGTGGGTGTCGCAGACGTAGACACCGCTGAACTGAGGAACATTGGAAGCAAGCCCAGCGAGAGACATGTCTTCATCGTTGATGACTTTGACGCATTTACTAAAATCCAAGACAACCTCATTACGTTCATCTGTGAAACGGCAACATCCAGTAAGACATCATTCTTTGTAGTCTGCATTGCGTTGTTCACCTTATCGCTAACATGAAAGACAAGAGTGAAACTATTTCCTAAAATCTTTTACAGCTTGTCCTTTGATTTACCTCGACGGATTCACCTCACCAGGTCAGAACCTGACTGAAGTCCATATCCGAAGACCTTCTATCATCATAGTCTTATTTTCTCTGTCATTACACACTGTTATGCATCTCATGATTCATGCTTTGATGAAAACTTGCAGGCTTCAGGATGCTGGAAGCTTTTAACATCACTGACAAGATGTTTGCTGGCATGAATGGCGTCTCCATGGAACCTGGCTCCTTCAACAGTTACATTGCATACAGACTCCATAAGGATGCATTCATTTCCCAGCCCACAAAGTAGGTTGAAGTGCAGTGCATGTGTTTTGCATGTTTTCTGAGCTTCTCCCCTACAGACTATAATGGTAGTCAAGCGATCTCAATTGTTTTAACTGTCTTCAAAGGGCTTGCAGTCTCTGAAGTCTCTTTAAGGAGCAGATCTTCTTCTTTGTTGTAGCAGCTTGTGTGAATGAGGTGTCAGATTTTGCTGAAATTTCCAGTGTGAACTCATAAAAACATTCTCATGATTGACCTTCTCGAAAGGGGACTACATTCATACTCTGATACATTTGAGAAGAAAATTATATATTTTAAAGAGTTTTATTTGGCCTGACATGAAGTGCTAAAGGCAAGTCCAAGCAAAAACCTAATGGCAGCTATTGCTTTAGTGGTAGAAATTCATCTCGTAAAAAAAAAATTGCTTTTTGCAACAGTATATTAAACCTCCTTTTTCTTATTATTAAAGATCTGTACATTGTAGTGGACAACAGCATTAGAAAGTCAGGGTTATTATCATTAACTAAAACTATTAAAATTATTTTATTAATTGAAATAAAGTTAAAATATGATCCAGTCTAAATATTATATTTAAAAAGGTCTAAAGAAAATTAGAGCTGAAATAAGTTTAAGCACTAACATTGTGTAACTGGAAATAAATACAAATTAAAACTAAAACTGAAAAAAAAAAAAAAACATTAATAAAAATGACAAAATAACAAAACAGTAAACTAAAATTAAGATGTTCAATTCAATTATAATGTTGAATTATGTCCATTCAAAATAGTCTTTAAACTATAATAGCAATAAATAATAATACAAAATATACTAAAATAACACTGCAGAGAGTTAATCTACTGTATGTATTATTAATTAATTAATTAATGAATTAATTTTTTTGACAAGGGCAAATTGGTGTTTAACTATACCTGTATTACTCATTACACTTTTTCTGTACAAAAGTAATGCAAATGATTATTAAATTACTAATTATTTCATAAAAATCTCAGGCTTTTTCAGATTGTTCCAATGGTGCCATTGTCAAATATGCTCCAGTGTTTGTCTGTACACTCTTAGATCAAGAAGAGAATACCTCAAATTGAGCCAACTAAAGATCTGGTGTGAAGGTCTCTGGTCAAAGCATGCTTGATTAATTTAACTTTAATGATTTGTATTTGTGCGTGGGTAAGCAGCTTTTCAAATGGAAACATTCTGAGCACCAGAAGAGGAAAAATACTTCAATATGTTGCCATTACTCAAGGCTGTGAGTCTGTTTGCATTTTTCTCAGAGGACGCTACATGAATCTGTTCTGCACTTATTGATTTATGTCTGGTTTCACTGCACAACATATACAATATACTGCACAACTGTATAAAGCTTTTGATTACATTCTTGTCATCAGACACATGCAATATTCCCATGAAACCCATCATGTGCAGGTCATATTTTGCATTATGACGTGATTTTATGAACATTAAGGCTGTGGGCTGCCTGATGATGTTCTTTGCATTGATAAATGAGCTGTGTTTTTCTTTGAAGGGAAATCCATCCAGATGGTCTTCCTCCCTCCTACACTCTGATTCTCCTCTTCCGTCTTCTCCCCGACACCGGCAAGGATGCGTTTGATATATGGCAGATATCAGATAAGAACAACAACCCTGAGGTCGGGCTCACCATTGACCGTAAGGACCATGTTGATTTTCCATGTCTCGTGTGTGTTAGAGTGTGTGTGTGTGTGTGCAGTAAACTTTGTGGTGTCTGCTAAAGCTTATTTAGAAACAGAAACCCTCTAAATGGGTTCCAGATTTCAGGCTTGCAGTGATTTATAGCAGTAATTATTCAGAAATGCATAATCAGTCCTATTAGAGCATCAAGGTCAGATTTAGATCGAAATCCTTTGTTTGGTTGTTGTATTTATTCATTTTTTTTTGTCATTTTTGTCCGGGCAGTCAGTGCAGAGCTGTCTGTAAGTGTGTGTTTTGTTCTCAGCCTCCAGTAGAAGCATCTCATTCTACAATAAGGACTCCAGAGGTGAAAATCAGAAAGTCTCCTTTGATAACGACCAAGTGAAGAAAGTTTTCCATGGCAGTTTCCACAAGGTAGATTGATTTTCTTACCTCGGTTGACTACTTGGGCGTTTAAAATTGCTCTTAAAGGGGTCATATGATGCGATTTCAAGTTTTCCTTTCTCTTTGGAGTGTTACAAGCTGTTCGTGAAT